TAGTGCATTGTTATTTTTAAGGAACTGTCTTCAGCTTATTATTTCTAGTTTGCGCTTTTTAATGATGCTAATAAAGTTGTATGGAATCCAAAACATATTCTGCAACAACAAGGAAGATATATTCCAACATACTCTCCAACATTTCTCTGATAAAAATAGGGCTGTCCCATTCAATAATGATATTTTTACTATTTATACCTCACACATCTTACTGGGTTTCCCCAGCCACTCTGAGCAGCTTCCAATATATATACAAACATAATAAAACATTAAACATGAAAAACAACAATTTCGCTATAAAGAATTGCCTTCAGGCAACTCGGGAGTCGAATAACTCCATACGCTCTAACATTTCTCCAATAGAAATAGGGACGTCCTAAGGAAAAGCGGGACATTCTAAGATTCTTTTGGGTGAAGCCATGACAGTTAATCCACCATATTTGTATACATTTGTAGTAGATGCATACTTTTAGTTTCTTCTCTCTTTCCTCCTTGTCACACTACCTCTTTGTCTATATAGTGTTATACTTTTGGAATTTGGATACCTGTAGATCTGTGAGTTTAGAATCTATAAGAAGAAACCTTTTAAACCAAGCAGACTAGTCTGTTTGTAAGATAATTGCCTTAGTTGACTAGCCAAGTATTGGCATTTACATGTATAAAGTGACGGTTCTGTTGCCATAGAGACAAATGGGTGAGCCTTTCCTCACTCCACCTGCCTGCATGCCATGTCATCCTAGGAGGAGGAACAATTGGCCAATGGGTGCAGTATGTCCGATAGCTTTTGGCTGATGCTGGAAGCTGGAGACACAGAAACCTTTCTTGCTCTGGGCTGGACCCAAAGCTGTGGCTTGAAGCTTTCTTGGAAACCTATGGGGGGGGGCAGGATCTATTGAATTGTTAATGCTGTGAGCTCCTCTACCCTATGCTCAGGTTATATATATGTATAAATAAAACCGTACATCCTAATGACACAACGGTCTCCATCAACCTTCATTCCAATAAAAGCAAACTCTGGCTAAGCTGGAACCTATGGAGTCTCTCAGCACCTGAAGATTGGGGAGGTTCAACAATATAATGGTTGTAGTATCAGAGGCACAACCCACCTAAGATCCTGCAATAACCTCTTTATGGATCCTCCTAACTCACATGTTTAAGACCTCACTAGTCATCAATTCATACAAACCTCCTTCTAGCAGCTATGGTGTGTTATGCTGACTTGTTAGCAGCTACAAAGTGCTGTTGTGGCTTCCCCTGTTGATGTTATACTCAGTTCTGGCACCTCTCAGGTGGGCGTCATTGCCATCATAAGAGAATAAGTGAGGAGTTCATGGTGAGTTCTGGCGCCTCTTTTTCTAGAAAAATAGCGCTGCTGATGGCTCTGCGAAGGACGTGAGAGGACGGTCCCCAGCCACACTACAGTTTAAATTTCCCGCAGCCACGCCTCCCGCCAACCCTGATTGGACAGCGGGGCCGGCCCTGGGCAGGGCCCCACCCAGCACTGGTGACATGGCTGAGCGGCGATGATGAGGCCCAATGCCTGGCCGCAACACTGCTCACTAGAAAGTCCTGTTTTCAGGCTTCTTATAGGATTCTGGTTGGATACTGTGAAAACAGGATGCTGGGGGGGGGGGGGACGACTAGATGGACATTGGCCTAAGCCAGCAGGCTCTTCTTATGTTACATTCCCACGTCCTCTGCCCCTTCAGTGTCTTCATTTCAATGCTCCTTGAGCATTCCTACAGCTGCAGTGTGGCTGACCAAAGCATCTTTCACAGCCTTTGTGAGACCACCTACAGATCTTCATCAGTGTGTGTCATTATTAATTATCAAATGCTTATAGTAACCCTACTTACAGTTTTATAACAGTCAAATTTCTTCTGAGGAAATAGATCTCCCGCTGATTTCAAAGCCCGAATACTGTCGCTTTTTAGAGACAATCACTTTTTAACTTCTAATTTTATAACATTACATGAGGGCCACTGGGAATGCTTCAACGCTCTCCTTTAATGACAGCAAAATCCATATTTGTTTTGGCTGATATTTAACGGATTATTAATTTTTCAGTTTAGTTTAACTCATATTTTTCTTTAGTGCAGGTGTAATAGACTGTGGATTCCTCAATGTGATCCCATTATAAAAGTTTAAGTGGGATTTGTAAAATTGGGCTCTCTTGTAAGTTCACTGAAGGAGATGCAGGTAGGTGTGCCAATTGCATTAATGAAAATTCTCAGGATTATAGGATTTTCAAAACCAGGACACTCCAGGGCATTAAAGAACATAAGTTAATGAAACTCCATTAGGAGTTTCATTATCTGCATGCCTACATTAAGACTAAGATGCCGTACAAAGTTTTAGGCTTAGGTTATAGGACTTCCTGTTCTACTGCTCTGTAGATTTCACCCCTTAGTAAAGTGGTGCTGAGTGGATTCACTACCATGCTTCTAACACTGAATAAATATTAAAACCCTGTGATGTGAGCAGGGTACGACTTATCAAAAGCCCAGGCTCCCATCATCATCATCAACATCATCATCATCATCATATATTCATCTGACTTTGACATATTCTTGTTCATTGCTTAATTCCCTGATTGAGTAGGATCACTCCTGACTAACCTTAGCCTCACTTCTCTGGGAATAAACCCCATTGGATTCAATGAGACTTATTTCTGAATAGGCATGGTTCTATTGTTAGCTATGAAGCAATGTGGCCTCACTAGGCCTCATTCTCAATTGTCTCATTTGCCCACAATCACTGACTCTGCATTTACTAATCTAAAAG